TTGGATTGTATTTCGAAACGGTTTGAACCAATTTTGATGTGACGTCATGGGTTCATCGCGAGAATACCTATACGTTTCAAACCTGTTTTGAACCAGTTTCAAAAAAGTGAACGCGAGAAAACAGCCCAAGTCTCGACTTCCCGAGGTATTTTCTCCCGTCTCAAAGTTTTGAAACATTACTCAAAAAAGAGCCGTTTTCTCGCTTCCATTTTTCTGACATTGGTTCAAAACCGGTTTGAAACAGTCGATGGAAACACCATTGCCCGTTTCAAACCTCTGTTTTGAACCAATGTCAAAAAAGTGGACGCGAGAAAACGGCTCTGGTTTAAAACAGTTTCACAATGACGTGATAACTTCTCGGCGCGAGAAAATGGTTTAAAATCATGGATTTCATTGTATTTCGAAACGGTTTGAACCAATTGTGGTGTGACGTCATGGGTTCATCGCTAGAATATACTATTTCAAACCTGTTTTGAACTAGTTTCAAAAAATTGAACGCGAAAAAAACAGCTCTGGTAATAGTTCACCCATTCACCCACTTGAATGTGGTACGAATATTGTCCAAGGTCTTTCAGTAAACCATTTCCGAGTAGCAAGGAGTCCAATTAGCCCACAGCGCCTTGAATTGAAAGTTAGGCTTCTAGCTGAAATTTCATGCAAGATTGGTCTTTGCTGGATTCGTTCAGATTCAAAAATGGTTTGAATGTCACTATCTTATTGCAATTGGTCACTTCTGAGCTGTTCGGAGCTCCATTCTTGATCCATTTCAAATCGGAGACTTCTAACAGGAACTCCTACACGCTAATCACGCTGATCAATTGCGCTTGCATTAAGCTGTGCATGGTCGGTAAGGGCATCTGCGTTGCTATGCCGTTTACCAAAACGGTGTTTCATTCGAAAACTGTACGTAACTACGCAAGCCATCGTGCTGCCTGGCATTCTGGTTGTTGGATGTTTAGAAGCCATTTAAGCGATGCATGATCTGTTATGAGAAGTTTTTGACCATACTGCTCACGTCTGTGTCCAAAATAAATGTACGTCGCATTATTGTTCCTTTATTGGTCAGGGTTTTTGACATGACATTTTGACATTAAAGTTCATTGACAAAATTAAAGAAAAATATTGCTAAGACATGTTTAAAAAGCCATAGCAATCTTTGTTTTTTTTTGAAGACCCGTTATATCGGGTTGGGGCAACCACTTACAAAGCGCAATCGATTTTTCAGTGGAAAATATAGTATTTAACCTTGGGAATTAATACATTTGGAAGCCTTCAAAAAAGAGAGAGAAGAGATTTCCTCTCTTATTACTCCAGAAGATCTTCGACCACAATACAAGCGGATTATGGTCCTGTTTTTAAAAAATCAAGCAGCATTGCGGGTGGAAGTCGACTCCAGTAGCAGAAGAAGGATACTTGGATGGAAGACTCTATTGAAAACAAAATAAAATAAACTGCTATAGTGGAATTAAGTAAACAGTGTATGCACGTGATCAAAATTACTGACATAAGCACGTCGCAATGTTGCCGCTATTAACTTTCGTTTTACTTTGACATACCATGTCTAGTAAAATTTGTTATCACTAAAGCAAACAAACATCGATTTTTATATGTATAGATAGTGTATTATGAACACAATCTAAAAAAACTACTCACTTTTCGTCGTAAATTTGATTGCGAATAGAGCAAACATCAAGGTGATCTTGATTCGTTACCCGCTTCTTAGGTGGACGTTTTTTCTTTGGTGAATTTAACGCTAAATTATCCCTAACTTTTTGAGAGATTTTACATTGGATTTCACTCACAGTGGTTATAGGTACCAATATTCAGTGCAGCTGCAACAAGCTGGAAAAATATTCCCAATTAAAGCCCCAGAAAATGTATATTTGATAGTATCAATAGGTATACTTCACCTCTCTAACGCTATTTAATGGCAAAAAGGGGCCCCCATTATCTCGTTCCTGTTCAAAGAAACTAATTAGAGACACAACGAGTTTCTGACTCTGACTATTCAATGGCTTTGGCATTTTATAGATACATAAATAGAAATAATTTCAAATTATTAAAATCAGTAACCGCAGATTTGCAGCAATATTTGGCAACATAACCCATGAGCATGGGCGTCGTTCATAATGTACCTTGAAATGAGTGCAAGAGAGTTCCTATCTTATATTTTTAAGAAAAAAATGTTTGGTTTTATTTAGTCTTTATTATTTATCTTCCGATTAAGACTAAAATGTTTATGTTTATGAATGGTTTTTTTGCTTTGTGTTAAGGTTTACCTGTAATAATAGTTTAAAATATTTTTTTTTTTTACGTTTAGAAGTTAGTTACTTCCTTTGTTCCTATCTATGCAGTTCTATACCATTTCCAGTATTATTTCCCACTAGTGAAATTTGATTTCACATTTTTGAAAATGAATTTCAAACTGACCCTATAATTAATACTCATTTCTCAAACATTTTTTAGTTTAATTTGAAAAAACATCAACAAATGTTATTTATTTTACCCTAATGAAATAAACCCACTGAGTTCACATAACATAAAATACAATCATGGAACAACAATAATAATTATAAATTATTTAAATAAATTGAACTTCAGTTGAGTCTTCTCACTCTTGAGATAGCTGCATACCTTTCCACGTGATTTTCCAAGTTTAATTTATTTAAATAATTCATAGGTAATAATTATTGTTGTTTCATGATTGTATTTTATGTTATCTAAACTTAGTGGGTTTATTTCATTAGGTTGAAATAAATAACGTACGTTCTTGATGTTTTTTCAAATTGAAATAATAAATGTTTGAAAAATGAGTATTAATTAGGGTAAGTTTGAAATTCATTTTCAAAGATGTGAAATTTCGTTTGTGAGAAATTAGTTTTCATTACTTTGAAATCAATTTTCATTTGAGCGAAATTAGATTTCACTGATGTGAATTTATGGATCAATAGCTGCCGATATACAATTTGCAATTCTGCACTTCCTGTAGATTAAAGGATATCTTATAGGATTGTGAATATTTCCGATCGGGTGTTTGGCAATCGATGCGTTTTGCAGTGTCTAGGCTTATAGAAATTTATAGATTTGCTTACAGATGTGCACATAATTGACCCGTTAGTTTTCATTAAATTGAAATCAAATTTCACTAGTGTGAAATAATGCTGGAAATGGTATAGAATTTTGTAGTTTTATTTTTGTTAGACTGTCCCGAAGGGGAAAAGTTTGGTTTTTCGTTCCTATTTTGGTAAAACTTGTAATTTGTAGGTACCTGATTTGTGCAATTATATCTGTAGGTATTTTTAATAAAACATACATTTTGATGAAAGATTAGTGAATACTTATTTGAGTAACGACCTTCAATGAATACGCTGTGCTGTGAAAAATTGGCTGACATTTTCATTACATTCAACGGAATTGAATTCCACTTGACTTAGAGCCGGTATTATAAAACACTGAACCGATGGTAGAGTTTCAACCTTTGGTTGAATCCTATCAATTTGCATGGAGCACCGAAGGTTGAAACTCAATTATCGGTTCAGTGTTTTACAATACCGGCCATTAGAAAATTACCTTAACAAATGATGCGGACAGTGAATTTGTTGCGGAAAAAAATACAATCATTTTTAACTAAATATCGTATCAAAGAAGTACGTTAAAATGCTCAAAAAGGGGCGTGGCACCGAAAAAAATTAGCCTACGGCAGTTGCCTGCGGAGCTAATGGAAATGGTCTTTATTATAATACTGCCCCCCCCCCTAAGAAACCTCGTAACGACGCCCATGCCCATGAGTCATTTTATCGGCCGATTCGGTTAAATGCCAACAGTGTTCTGTCTTTTTTTAACTAAGGTTAAATAAAAAGGAGAATGAGCTCTCAGCTTGAAACGAATTTTAATTTCTTACAAACTGCAATTGGCAATAATTTCGACGTCATTGATCACGTGCATACACTGTTTAAATAATTTCACTATAACAATACTTTAAGCGAGTTAGACTGAGAGTGAAAACTCAGAGGTGAAATGAATCCTTTTAAGGTCAAATGCGAAGTAGGGACAGGACAGTCCACGAAAGATTCGAGAATAAATATAGAAAACTGAAGATGATGCAGGAAATTGGCCATGAGCCCGACAACGAAAGCAACAGAAATATAAATAGGTATATACGGCCGTCGATGAGCCCTCTCATGCGCGGCCAACTCAAACCACCAACATTTGACAAGCGAGCCCGAGCATCTTCGACCATGTATAAACGACATTTTGAAAGCGCTTCTACTAATATATAAGTGATGTAGAACAATTTTGTCTAGGTCAGAATTGGTAGATATATAGCAGGTTATTTCTATACCAGAGTCGGGAAATTAGTACCTCATGGTTGCTAACGACTATCTATTTCAAAGTGGTCCAGAAGTGGTTTCAATCATTAATCAAGATTAGTGAGATACAGTTGCTGAAGAAATACTGGAAAACAGTTATTTCAGATACGGAATATACCGATAGACCTTATTCATACCGATCAGGGGAGAAATTTTGAGACCAAAATATGGAAACAACTACGGTTACTGGAGGGAATAAAAATAAAGGTTAAGGAGAACTACCTACTCTACTTCATCCACATAGTTCGACGAAATGGCCGAGGAGGCACCATCGGACCATTAATAAATAGGTACCTCTCCCGATGTTTGTGGATGAGCGCAAGAGAGACTGAGATGAACTGAAACATTTCCCTTACCTGCTGGCTTATAGAAGCTCCCAGCATGAATCCACCGCGAAATCTTAGCCAAATGTCGTTAACGTAGAAAAACTGCCAACTGGCCTCATAGAGAGGCAAGAATACATTGTAATTAATCATACGGAAAGTTGGGGAAACTGTGCACAATCTGGCAATACTACACAGAAAGTCCCCCGAAATAAGAAGATTCGACCCTCTAGGACTTAACATAACAGAGAACAGAAACCCATCAACCTAAACCCACCCTATTAAAAAAATGACAAAAATTTTATTGGAAACACTTATACTTTCAGTATAAAGGATTGGAGAAGAAGATACATTTTATGAATATTTTATCATTCGCAAATCAATTTTATACATCTAAAACTTGACGAACATTAGATATACACATCAAATCTACCATACATTTCTAGGTTACAGGCATAATACAAATCTAAATATTCTTGATGCAAATATAACTTAAGTAATTATGCTAAAATTAAAATTATTTCAAAATTAAGCAATGGTTTGACAGAAGAAACTGTCAACACGAGCATTTGTTTTCACTGGATGTCGGATTCGAGTCTCTGCTAATTGAAAATTGATCGCCTTTCTTATCGTTGTTTATTATGCTGTCTTTTTCAAGAATCTAAAATTTTGAAAACAAGTTATAATGTGAGAAGTAAAAGCTTAAACCTATATTTACTTTCTCCACTAAGGCTCTAGCAGCTTCATCGATGTTGATATTATCCCTTGCTGATGTCTCGAACCATGAAGCGAACCCATTTTCCCGACAAAATTCATCCATTTTTGTGGGATTTGTCACTAATCCCTCTTTTTGCTGATCACACTAAAATTGAAAAATAAAATAGGTACCCTTGAATAAACAGCCAGATATTTAATATTGGGGAGTTGAATGCTGTGTGCACGTTGAATAATCCAGTAAAGAAAGAGATTTTGTGCAAAAAAAAGATCAGTGCCAAACGCTTTCGGGCTTAGGTCATCATCCAGTGCAACTTCGTCAGGTTTAATAAGATTCTAACCTAAATTTAAAGTAGAGAATCAATTTTGTGAAAACAGATAATCCCATTGTAATTTGTGAACAAACCGTTTAAACTTGTTTGTGAGCTCTGTAAAATGTGGTCTCGTCCATTTACATTTTCATCAAGCTGGCTCTCTTATTAAACCTGATGAAGTTGCATTGATGATGGCGAAAGCGCTTTGCAATGATCTTCAACAGAATTGTTTGCACGAAATACAAAACCAATCTCTTTGTTTACCTAATAATATATTATTTAATAATATATAGTATTTCTGACTCGAATGCCGTCCAATAAAGCTCCTTCTTTGCAAAAATAGGAGTGTTAAAGAAAGAAATGTCAGGCATTGAGTTAAAACAATCGGCCGAAAATATTTTTTTTTTCCCAATTATTTTATTGGCGCGGTAAATAGTACCTACCTATCCTAACTTTTAATGTGGCGTTGATTGGTTGAATTTATGAAACTGGCTGGATAAGTATACGTTTAAGCAAAAACAAAAATACCTCAATAAAGGAATTAGCTCCAATTTGGCATTAACATTCATTAATGAAACTGTGAGAAGTTTGAACAATAATTTCTACTGACAACTAGGCACACTGGCACACGATGATGGCTTATGGTAAAGTTTACTTGTGGCCTGTTAGGTATCTGATAACTACAATTAATTTTTACAGAATACACGAAAATGTCGGAAAAAGGAAACAAAGGTAGATCTATAGATAAGTAATCGATTAAAATGATGTTTATGACTTATGACAGATTAGAGTCGATTCTTATGTGAGGTTTTTCTCCCCTAAACATCCATTTGCACATTTGATCGACCATACCACAAATTAGCAGATCGACACTCCAAGATGGAGGACGATAACGCCTCCATAAACTGTTAGGTTAACTTATAATGCTAAAATAACAGTTTTCTGGCAAGCTGTTGCATCTGGTATGGATTCAATTTCAAATACCTAACAATTACCTAAATGATGATAAGTAATAAGCTTACTTTATTTGCTAACAAGACACACGGTATTTGTGTTCCATCTGGAAGTTGCACTTTGGAATCCAGATCTGTTTTCCAATTAATTACTGATTCAAAAGTATTTCTTCTTGTTACATCAAAAACGATGAATGCGCCTACAGCTTCTTTGTAGTAAACCCTTGTCATGTTGCCATATCTTTCTTGTCCTGTAAAAACATTTTTTTAAATTTCTACTGTATTTTCTTCAAAACTGTTTATCTTACCGGCAATATCCCATAATTGGAGGCGTATTAAAGTATTTTCATCCCAGTTGAGAACTTTCAAGGCAAAATCCACACCAATTGTCGCCCTATAATGCTGCGTGAAAAACCTATGCACATATCTTTTAATTATGGAGGTTTTGCCAGTGCCCAAATCACCGATCACCAAAATCTTGTAGAGATGGTCTTTGGGCTTACTCGTACTTGCATTGGCCTAAAAAGAATAAGAAATGGAACTTTATAGACAAAAGCCAATTTTTTTTTTTAATGCGGAGCTAATAATTACAGAACTTATCCATAAACTGGAAAATGAGATATATGTGTTGAAGAGAGACCAATAGGTAAATCTTGTTACAAAGGCAGCGGCCGCATGAACATTTTGAGAAGATGGTCTGAAGAGGGAAATGATATTACTTTTTTGGACCTCTAATGGTCGTATTATCATGATTTCGAACTTAAAATTATTCATTTGTGATTAGTGTTTGGACCTTTTAAATAGTCGTATTATTATTTACTTAAGTTTGGTTGCGTCTGTGTAAAAAGCGTGCTTTGCGAGTCAACTGAGCTTCCGAGGTTTGAGTGTTTTCATTTAGACTCGGTTTATTCATCTTCAGATAAACTTGCTGGTATAACTATCTGCTGGATAAATTCACCGTTTTATAACTCTATTGGTCGGCGGATAACTGGACGACCAATGGGATTACAGATTGCGTTTTTATCAGTCAGTCAGATTGCATATCTGACAGTTTATCAGAAGGTGAATAAATAAACTGGCCCTTACTCTAATAACATTATTGTGGTATTTTATGTTTTCCTAGACTTAAATTTAGTTACCCAATAATAAGTGAAGGCATTTTATCTCAAGTTACCAAAGCTTTAAATTAAAATTTCCCGTCAATGTTTTTTTTTAATTTTAGGTATACCTTAGTATAGGTAACTATGAAGGAATGAAACCAAATATCGCATAGTAATATAGGTTTACGGAACCTTGGAGTAAAGGATATAATTTCTATTGGTAATATTGATACCAACAAATTTTCTCGAGCGGCATGTTTTTGTAAAATATCTGGTAACCTAGAAAATATTGTTTATTTGAACGGTTTACTCTCAACGTTTAAAATAAAATTTATAGAACAGTAACTTTTCAATTACCTATTCATTCATTGTTTCATAATTTATTATTACCTACCAAATGTTGGAAAAATATATGAAAATTATTAGTATGGGATTTTGTTCTGAATAGAAAGTTTAATGGATATTTTAATTGAGTACCGGTAGCACAATGTATTTTTTCTTTAAAAAAAGTTATTTTTGAAATGTTCAATTCCGGAGGACATTTACTCAATTTATTGTTATGACTAAATTTTAATCTCCAGTGTAATTAAGATAAGGTGATTTAAGTATGTGCTTGTCGATTGCGGACTGAAAGGTCATTGCTACTATTTTTTAAGTATCCATCCTCTTATAAGTCGATGGACCAATACAGTTTACGTTAGAAATTGTTTAGTTAAGATAAATATTAACGTTAATACATAGATAGTATTGAGGAAATATACATTTTCCCAATTAGTATTATGCATATATAACTAATTTTACATCTACAAGATGTTCTTGAACTTTTCAACTATTGAGTACAGATAATGCAAATAATATTGTCAAAATTCTTGAAATTTAAACAATAATAATGGTACCTAGTAAATATGTTTTTGATTTTTGAAGGTCAAAAAAAAAACAATCATGAGTTTCAAAATCAAGGTAAGAAGATCACAAATAATTGGAATTGTCATGTCGTAGTTAGTATCTAACATTTGATATTACGCTCCTGTCAAATTCGCTGAACTGAAAAACGGACTTATAGCAAGAGCAACTTTTGCTAACATCACTTGATAGTGTAGTTATTTTTGATATGACTGGAAGCTTTTTCGATTTCCATGAAAATTCAGTATACATATTTACTTTCATTATTTTATTTTCTAATAATTCACTTTCAAAATTGCTATAAATTGCCAACTACCTACATAATACATCGACAATCAAAATAATATAAATTATAAATGTTTACCCCAAGAGTCGATGAATCCAAAATAAGTTCACCATATGCAGGCATTTTTCTTAAATTTTCCAAAGATTTCGTGCGTTCGGGAATACTTTTCCTCGGTTCCGAGCTAACGTAAAATTTTGGGTTATCAAAACTAATTTCGCTCTTGGTAATCGATGCTGCTGCTGCAGTTTCCCTTTCGAGATTTTCAGAATCCTTCCAAGATTCTTGTAAATTCGTTTCTGATGCGGATTTTGTCAAAGCAAAATTATCATCCCCTTCAGGGGTTTGACGCTCGACTGATGTAGATTGAGATGATGTACTTGCAGCTGAGCGTAGTTTCGATATGTCAGCCGACTCAGATCGGGTAGGAGCACTTTTTGATTTAAACTTTAACTTTCTTACGAGAAAGTTCGCGCGTTTTAATTTGGCACTTTTTGGAGATTTTGGGGGAATTAAAATTTTTTTAGCCCGTTTTGTCAGCGACGTTCCTCCTTCTGTCTTCTTGTCGGTCGATTCGTTTTCGTTTTTCATTTTACTTCAACTTCATTACACTTGTGGGGATTGCGTTGCTCGTGGGGAACTGGATTACTTCAGGTTTCAGATGACATTATAATATTAAGGTAATTAGTTTTGTATAGTGGGGATGAAGTATTAGACAACATTCGCTGTTTTACGGTACATTTTATTGCATTACGTTACTTTTTCCAATACCTTGGAAAATATGCTTATTGGATTATAAATAAATGAGTGAAGTTTTTTTTGTATTAAGTAGAATAATCTTATTTGCAAATTTTCAATAATAGTCATACCACTCAATTACTAGCTAATGAAATCACCTTTTCCACGTTTTGCTTATATCGCGTCTTATTAGGTCAAATAATTAAGCGTCTTTTCACCCGGATTCACTACCTACCCATATTCTCAGGTCTGAAGTGGTTGTTATTATTGTCGCCAAGCTTGTCACAATTTTGGAAAAAGTATTTTTTAAAGTTTTTATCAAAAACTTGATGGCGTTTTTATATGCTTTAAGGAAAGCCATATACAAAATCTATACAAGTGAGGAACACCATTACATAAAGGCTATACTACAGGTAAGTACAAGAGATTATAATTTATGCCGGTAATGGAAATGGTTTTTGAGAAAATGCTCTACTTTCATGACAATATGGATATGAACACATATAATTTTGAAAAATGGTTCCAGCTGACTTTCAATTTGGAAGAGTTCTTCTGATTCCTAACGGACATGTAAGGGTAGATTAGAGTAGGCAGTTCCTAGAAGAAGTTGGACCAATATTTTGAAAGGGCTCGAGAAAAACAATGTTCCAGTATGCGGAAAACCAGCAAATCATGTTCGTCATTCTTAGATTGCCTTATTATTAGATACTGTCACTTCAATCCCATTGAATTGGTATGGTCAGAACTTGAACAAGCTTATAATCAGAGTATTATAGCATTGCAACTCCATTTTTTTTTTATTTTAGTTTTAAATCAAATGTATCCCATAACACTGCCAGATCTGATGAAAATCTGGGATCATGAAAGCTTCATTGAAAAATTTATGTGGATAATAGTGACCTAATGACAAAATCGAAATAATTCGTATATTCTCAATATGCTGTTAGTTAGTGGAATGTACAAGCTACATTATTATTCTTATCAATCAAAGAAGAAATTAATTATAAAATATAAGAACTATGTTGACAATACGTGAAAGAGTGATACCTACCTACTTTAAATGCAATATTTTTCAAAAAAATTATATTTTATCGTTGGATATGACAGCTCAATGCTTAAAAAGGAGCCAAATCGGCTTGTTGAATTAAAATGAGCAAATATTTGTCTACGAGCAATTTTCTGTTTTCAATTGATAAGTGCTCGAATATTAGACGGTTAGGTATCTGCTTATTCTTTTTACATTGCTTTCTAGTCAGAAACCACCACTGTGGTTTGTCGACAAAGCCTCGAACATCACATACAAACCAAATCAAACAAACAAACAAACAAACATCCATGCACCTAGCCGGGATTCGAACCCGAGACCCACTGCATGCAAAGCGAAGACACAACCGCTGAGCTGCTTGGAATGGGTCTGCACCTCACTTGCATTCGTGGACACCTCCTGCATTTAGAATTTAATTTTTAAACAAATTAGAGCATTGCCAACGAAATTAGAGACAAAAATTAATGAAGGTATAGGAAAAAGAGTAAAACTCTAACCCTCTCTACAACTTTGAAAGTAGTTTATAAAATATTAGTTCTCTTACAAAAAATAATGTGTATTGTGTAGGCGTGCTAGAGATGCCTATTTCACAAAGGCACTGGAAACAAGATATTATATTACCCTAATGAGATTAGACTGCTTTATATTGGGACAGGAAGGTGAATATCGAACTGCTTCTCCGCCATTAATATTGCTAGTACCTACATATTTCCAGTATTTTATACTACTTATGTATTGTATTATTTGTTTGTTTACTACTTTTCATTTAATTCCATTAAGCTTTTTTATAATTTATGTTAAAACAAAAAAAGGTTTTTTTTTCTGTAAAAAATAGAATTTACTAAAGAAATATATCTACCAGTGATTTATTTCCCATATCGCCTACTCTTGATCGACGCCATCTGTCTGGGTTATTGTTTTCTACTGAACACGTCAATGATTCCGTTGAAGAGGCAGAAGTATCTGACGATAACGAATTATTTTTATTTACTGTGGATAACAAATATCTTTCTCTTCTTTTCGTTCTCTCACCGCGTGTTCTTCGGCTATATCTAATATTGCGTTGATGCATCTCTTCTTCGAACATTATTTTTGAATGCTTTACACTAAACTAAATAATAAATTAAAAATTTCCGATAATTTCCAAAATAGATTATCTTTATCAGCAGAAAGTGTATATGGATTACCAACTACCATAGACATCTAGTAACGACATTTTAATTTAAAAACAATTAAATTAGTATAGAAACTTTTTGTGTGCGTTTCGTCTCTATGATTGATATGATATACGTATTATTTATAAACAAATCTATAATATGAGCGAGGTCAATGAAATACATGATTATAATATTTTAAATTCTGATTTGGCAATTGAAACATCACTATGTATAACTACATGTCATAAAATAAATATGTAATTTCGAAAAGTGCATGCACTTTAGGAGAATAACAGGACATGTTTTCAACAAATATTCGAACAGACAAACAAGAACGGATAATCATTTTAACTATTGCAATCGTTCGTAAGACACTAAAAGTCATTATTTATTGATATTTGAATAGATTTTCATAATTTCAGATCTTACAATTAAAAAAAAATCCAGAGATGTCGTATTGGCCCGTCTACCACCGAAATAGAAAATTTAACGCAGGTATAGTTGGTCGAAAAAAATACATTGAAATTCCGTGGGATCGAAATTTTAATGACCCAAATCTTGTTCAACTTTGGTATCGCGATAGTCGCAGGTGACAGGTATAAAGGACACTATACCTCTGTTCCAACACAGCAGAAAACCGTCCAATGTACCGTCACGATTCTGCGCAAAACCTAAAATCTGTGCGTAGAAACCGACATTCGTACACTGAGTGATTTCGAAACCGTTCATGAATGGTTTTTCGACGTGTTGAAACCTACGTCGTTTGATGTTTCTTTCTTCTCGTCATTGAATAGAAACTAGACTAAAAAATCCATACCTCCACTAATTCAGCATAAGTACAAATGTTAAAAATGTCTATGTGTTTTTTGATTGGTATCGTGTTTGTTGTTCGATATCTTCAAAATAAAACGCAGTTTACTAACAACAACAACTTCAATTGAACTAATTGACTTCATAAAGTTCACTAATCTAATCACTTAGCTTTATACAACAATCTCTATACTTTTTCTACAACTGTATTCACTCTGACTGACTGGTTTGTGATTTCTGCAGAAACAGAACTAATATAATTTGACACTTGAATTGACAAATGCTATAAGCGTTTCCATTTGCCTTTGATCTACAAGCTCCAACAGCTCGAACATTTTGTTAAATAAGAAATATAAGCTAACAAACAGAATTTTAGAGCGCCTAATTAACGTTTTTGTTGATTCCATATTTGTAACATATTTTTTGCCGATTAGGAGTCCCCATAAGCTTTGTTGAAGGTAAACAAATGAAAGTCTGTAATACCTCTTCCGACTTCGTTTTTGAAGATCATAGATATCGCCGGCTATACGAGCTGACTTTATTTTGAATTTCATAGATGTCGCTAGCAGTCGTCATGCCATCACTAGTGATGGCATGAATATTCCCGCACTAGTGTGGGAATGTGGTTATACCGTAGTTGAAAATGATGTCAAAATGTTCATATTCCAAAACAGTCGTAGAAAAAATGGTTTTCAACACTTGAAGGCATAAAAAATCGGTTAAGGAATCAATCGACTTGCAATGGAAAATTTGGATGCGTTGATGATAGTGAACTTACATAACAAAATCTTAGGATTGTTGACTTTTGAGAAGATTCTTATGGAAATTGTAAAGATTTGGGCGTTTTTCTAATATTGAGCAATTAAACAAGATCACTTTTTACATTAATTTATTCAAATAATTACCCGGATTACAACAACAACAGATAATTAACACATGCCGTTTTTTTACTGTGTATGACAAGTGACTTTTGACTTGACATTTTTTTCAGACTTGTTACAATAAAAGACATACGTTTTACATTTACATATTCCTGACTAATCAAGGACATGACACACAGAATCATGACGTAATACTAAATACATTCATTGTTTTTAACACCCCTTCTCAATGAAAGTATTTTGACACTTCATGATTTAATAAACAAAACAAAAATATTTTTATAATAAACCCAAATCTAACACAAAACCTGTAAATTTTACCTTTGACAAAGGTTTGGTTAAGATATCGGCTAATTGCATTTCTGTCTTAACATGTTTGATTTTAATCAAACCTCTGTCAATATTTTCTTTAATAAAACCATATTTAATATCCAGGTGTTTTAATCTTTTATTGTTTTCTGGATTATTAGCAATATGAATAGCGGACTGATTATCTTCAAATATTGTTATTGGATTGTTAATAGAAAACAATTTAAGATCCAACACAACTTTTCGCAACCAACATGCTTCGCTTATAGCTACAGTCAATGCAATGTATTCGGATTCGGTTGAAGAGATAGCTACTGCTTGCTGTTTTCTGCTAGCCCAAGAAACAGAGCAATTAAATAACTTGAAAATATAACCAGTGGTTGATTTACGGTCAGTAACATCTCCTCCCCAATCTGCATCAACATAACAAACAATGCTTGATATGGCTTGATTATCGAACTTGTAAATTAAATTAACTCAAATCTAATGTTGATTTTACATAGCGAAGAACTCTTTTTAATGCTTTTAATAAGTTTTCAGTTGCCTTATCTTGAAATCGACTTAACAATGTAACACTATAACATAAATCTGGTCTCGTCCCTGAAACTGCATATAGTAAACTACCAATTATTTGTCTACATCTCTTATTTAAATTTTCATTAACATTTTCATTTTTAAGTAATGACAAATCAAAAT